GTTTTACAACCCCGTGTTGCCAGGTTCTTACTTCATAAGCTCATAATAGCAAACCTTGCCTAACAGGTTGTTTAATTTGACAAATTTAGCTCGGAATCAGAATATCGGAATATCGAATAGTGTGAAGAGCTGAGTACGCCTCAAACGATTTGGCAAGCGCGAGCCGTGCGAGATAGTTGTTCACAGTATCTTTACATATGTGTAGAATTAAAAAAGAACTATTATAAGTAAACCGAATTAACTAGATAGATTTTGAAATAAAGGAAATTATACAGGAATATATCTTTTACAAAAGATGTGAATCTTTTCTTAAGCACTCGTGCTACCACTATCTCGTAAGACTCCACTTGATTCCCCTTAAATTCCTGTGAACATTTAAACAACATTCCTTATGTTTCAGTTTACTTGTTCAATTCTTTGCACCTTACGTGAAAGCAGCTTTTGCTTTTCAGTTCCTTTTATTTTCTTACTCATTAACTATGTTTGTTTATCTAATATTATAAATTAGACGGCTTAAAGGATCTTGAAAATCTTTTCTTTATCTTTATTTTGAATGCATAGATTTATCCCATTGCAAATAAAATATATATAACTATGTATTACAGTTATAAAGAAATTTTTCCTTTGTAAAACAATGTTCAAATACTCGATATGAATTTTCAATCGGACAGTTTGAAATTCATTCCAAGGTATCACGTTCGGGATATGCAAATATAAAACTGTGATAGGAAAGGTTACCACTGTCATTTTATACCAAAGTTAGTTGGTTCCACGGTCACTAAAAAACCGATTGTAATAGCAGTATTGAGGTATAATGAAAAAAATAGAAATATACTAACACACAAACTGCATACAGCTTTTATATTTCAATTAATCTTTATTCAAAATATCATTAAAAAGGTTCCCGCCTGTCTATAAAGTTTGATAAGACATAAATTATATATATGTTTCTATCTTTTGTAATAAACCACTTAAAACATAACTCAACTTAATCATTTATCAATAAAACTAACAGGATTCGGCAAACAACACATGCAAAGCGATTAAAACTCCATAATTGATTTTCGATTACCCAGTCCTGTCGGCATTTGTTTTGCAAATTCATCAATTTCATTAATAAACTCGATTGCTGATGGAATTTTACAATTTAAACCACAAAAGCTTTTAATTTTAACATTTACGTTTGCAGGAAATAACTAGGGTTTAAAGCGAAATGAAAATCATAGTTTTACTGTTTCAAAATAATATTATTGTCACAAACGGTTTATATGAAACAATTAACGCTTGCATGAACTACATTTTGAGAAGGCTTTGTTCCACGAAAATTCAAATGTAAATAACGTAAGAGGGATTGTGGCAAATTATTTACAAGAGTATATTTCACTTGAAGCCTTCAGTAAAGCCGCTTACCTTCGACGCGTTCTAGAAATGCCGTGCGCACACCTACGCGATCACTTACATTGAGAAAGCTATAGAATCTGGTTTTGTAATGTTCTAATAAAAGTTCTAACCACTATAAGCAAAGGAATAATACGTCTGAATACAACAGAGTTTCGAGCAATGGCAGACAAAGCGATGCGAGGTCCGTTCCATTTGAAATTTTCCTTCTTTTCAACAAAAGTTTCGTTCATTTTTCATCAGGGTGGGCTCGATAAAAACGACTATTACGCTTAAGCGCCTACTGAAAGGGCATTAGCCTGTCTTTTTCGGCAAATTTGGAGAAAGAAAGATATAATATTCACAACGACGGACTCCAATTTACGTACATATATTCACTTTTGACCCATTTTTTAACAGATGTGTTTTATGAAAAATATAAAAAATAAGATTTAATTGTAAATCTGAGAACACTAATATTTTTTTATACAAATTGTTTATAATATATATTAAATTATTAAATAATTAATTCAATTAAAAATACAAAATTACCACATTCAAAGAAATAAAGAAAATGTAAAACCGCCACTAATTAAATTTTCTTAGACGAAATTAGACAGAGATTAGTGATTTACATCAAAGATACTTCTTAGCTTTAGAATAAGTACAAAAATAAAGTCTATGCATATCATTGGAAATTTTGATCAGTTTTGCTTATAATGTTCACAATCCTTATTAATTTCTTCTAGTGCCTCTTTAATTATTACAATAATAATCGAACATAAATCGAAAAAAACATCTTGACAATTGCTATAGTCTACAACAGACATAAGAAGCGTTGATATAACTTCTTAACATTTCCCTTTGAATGCTGAATTGTTGTAACATGTATAAAAACGGACATTATGCAAAAAAGATATATAAAACCCGCGACCCAGACAGTTATAAAATTTACAGATTTTTCTTTATTTAAATGCGATCTCAATCGTATGCCAATAAGTTAGAATTTCCATTTTGTGCAGTCCTGGCACAAATATCTCGCTGTCTCTGTCAATATCGACCTCGTTTTAGATTCCAACAACCTCGCTGTACCTTAACGCTCTTTAATATTTAGTGAACTTATAAGAACATGTCCTTGATACGTATTTCGTAATACGTGTTTTATTAAGAGTAATAAATATAAATGATTGCCGCACTCAGAAAAATTAAGTGGAGTTAAAAGAGTCCCTTGGCGACTATTTATGTAATCATTAAATAAAAAATTGTTTGTATACTAGCTTGCCTCATTTCAAGGCTATTCATCGGACGTTGTAAGGAAAACAATAGCGATAAATGGACAAAATATATTTAACCTGCGCATTTCCAAAACAATACGATCAAATTTACTGCTGCGTCACAAATGCTCGCCGCGGTCTCGCTATTGGAATAAATAAGCGACACGGATTTCTGTTTATTATTCTATGAAATGCAATCGTGAATCAAAAGTGGTTTACAGATGGATTTATTTATTGTTCTGTTTCACAAACACTAGTATTCTCACTTGTAGATAATTGGTTTCATAATTGTGATAAACAAATATTTTATAAGGATATACTCGTGTAATTCACTTTCATATTGAAAAATAAATTCCTTTTAAGTACATGTATTACTCGTTTCTTTTCATTCACGTTTTGAATGGCAGCTGCAACCATTTATAAACAAAATAATAAAAGATATTTTTTTTTGTCATCGCTAAAAAAGGTACTTTTGTGTCAGGAACGGCATCTATTTTTCTTTGTCTTTTCCTGAAAAACTACATTAACTCTTAACTATCATCATCTTCCTGTTCTTATTACAGTGACGTAACGTCTTCACATCAGATTTTCCTCCACCATATCGATCTATCTTCTAAGTCATGCCACCGTAAAATGTAAAACATATAAACATATGATTTATAAAATGTTTTTAAAAAGAAAAATAGTCATTAATTCTAAAAATATGTCTTGTTAAATTTTCATTTCAACGTCTTACTATGTTTCTAATACTAACCCTTATTTAAAACATATAGTTATCTCTGTTTTGTCAAATATATAGACAGGGATGATATGTTTTACAGAGAGATTTTGATCTCAGAATACAACGATTAGAAGCGCTCGATATTACGTTGTGGGGGCAACGCTTGTATCGTGTTGTCGCATCGGCAAAATGTGGAGTTTCGGATAACAGGCCTCGTATTCAATTAATCGAATGCCGCCGGTAAATAGAGGCCAGCATCAGCCGATTTGTTTGAACACCAAAATTAACTAATGACTCGTTAAACCTATTTAGCAGTTGCGATTACTGCTGACTAAAATATCTGTTTTATTAAAATTTTACACAACAATTTGTGAAATTAGTTATTATGTTCATTTCGCTTTTATGAAATACGATGCTTTTAATGAATGTGATTTTGATATATTTGAGTGGCTAAATAAATGCTTTCATTTAATGAAAGCTCTAGAGAGCTACAAATGAGAATACTACAAAATATTAATTATATTACGTCCTTTGTCCAAATAAAAAATAATTGCCATTCATTCCATATTCAAAAAATAGCTATATAATTTATGTTTTTAATTTAATTTATTTATTAAGTTTAAAAATTGCTTTGCATTTAGCTTTTGCGAATATAAATATTTCATAATGGTATAAGATGAAGCTCTGCATTCGTAACTCGCCTGACTTTTAGATAATACTTTCTTAAGATTTCCGAGAGGGTATTTTTGAACAAATGTACAGATAGATAAGTACAAATGTAATCCGCGCACAAGAATATGGTATCCATTGTACGAGGTAACTGTTTCCATGGCCTAATCCCCAGCTGGGGAGCGAGTTTCATTTACTTTATTCGCTCAGTTGTAATCTTCTCTATTCGCAAAGCTTATGTCATGTCACTTGGATTTCTATTTATATATCTTTTCCTTTATTATGTCGACGGGTTAAGTGCTCCGTCTGATGCTGGCTTAAGTGCTCACAACACACGAGTTCACTTCTATGTTCTCTTCCTACCTTCATTTAAGTCAGTGACAATTCTAATAATGACTTTAATTTCAGAAGAATTTAAATTATGACATCTGCATTGGAATACTTGTTTATTCGACTGTTGTTTGTTTATTCGGAATGTTTGAATTACTCCTAAAACTTATTTGCAAAAATTATTGTTTTGTTTTAATTTATAAAAGTTAATAACAGTTGTAGTTATAATTGTATATTTCACAACAATTTGTTTAGTTATTTTCTTATCCATTTATGGGTATGACGGTGATGCAAAGGTAGCGCTTGAGCGTAAAACGACAATTATTTCCCTTCCGCACTTGACTTTTTGAAAGTGACTTGGTAGTTAGGGCATTGCAAGGAGCGCTACAGGTTGTGCTCTGCGCCACAGGTTGCCTGCAAGTTATTAACGACGGCCGCGGAGCTCCTGCCGCGCACCCTCCGCACCCCTTACGCCCCAGCCCCTCACACCACTACTGAAGCAACTTTCCTGTTGACTTGTTTATATTTTTGCGGCAGCTTCTTACAATTCATTTTATAAAAGTTTACTCTGGGAAAAATAATTAAATCATATCGTTAGCACAAAAATTTAACACTTTTTTTGTTTGCAGGATACACCGACGAGCAGCCTTCCACGCAGTTTACGGCACAGCTTCCGACCGAGGTGAGGCCGGTGTTCGGCCCCGGCCCCGCCTCGCAGCCGGCGCCTCAGCCTGTCTCCTATGCCCTTCTACAACTTTCCACATCCGATCCGTCTCAACCGTCTTTCCTCCAAGTACAGCTCCAATCTTCGCCTGTCTCCCCCCCTCCGCCACCGGCGAGCGGCAAGTCTCTCTCCATGTATTACACAAGTACGGGTGCAATATTATCTTTGCCACCGAAGAAGAAAGATATTTATCGCCCTTACTGCCTCGGAGATCATGCGTTCCTACACCGTGCAGAAGAGGATCTCAACGCGGCTCATGCGATACTGGATTTGAGTGCGCACGCTGTGTTTCTATCCACGCAGCCGCGCCCCGAACCGGCACCTCCTGAGCCCCCGCCTGCGGTTCCGGAACCGCCGATTCCGGAACCGCCGCCGGTCGAGCGACCTCGAAAAACCATCGCTTACACATACGACGCTTTCTTCGTAAGCGACGGTCGCTCCAAGCGACGCAACTTCGTCAACGCCCCGGAGGAGTGCGCCCAGCTGCCCGAGCAAAAGTCCAAGTACACGTGCAACGAATGCGGAAAGCGGTACGCGACCTCATCGAACCTTTCGCGGCACAAACAGACGCACCGCAGCCTAGACTCGGTGGCGGCCAAGCGGTGCGGCGAATGCGGCAAGGCGTACGTTTCCATGCCCGCACTCGCCATGCATGTCCTCACACACCAACTGTCGCACGTGTGCGGCGTGTGCGGCAAACTATTCTCGCGGCCCTGGCTGCTACAGGGACACCTTCGATCACACACAGGCGAGAAGCCCTACGGCTGCGCTCATTGCGGTAAGGCGTTCGCCGATCGCTCCAATCTCCGTGCGCACATGCAGACGCATTCGTCCGATAAAAACTTCGAATGCTCGCGCTGTCATAAGACATTTGCACTCAAGAGCTACCTCAATAAACACCAGGAGTCTTCGTGCGTACGCGACGACGAGGCAGCGCCGGCCGAGTCCTTACCCGACCTGTCCGACGCCGCTGCTGAGTAGTGACTTTGCCTCACCACTCGAGACGCATCTTGGGACCGTAATCTCTGCCGTATGTTTTACATATAAACGTAAAGTATTATAATATGAATTTAGCTTGTTAGAATTATATTAAATGTACAATTGTCAATAAGAAGAGGTCGCGACCGGCGCCGCAGCCGTCGCTATGGCGCAGCGCCGGCCGGGGGACTCGCAATCGAGCAACGTTTCGCAAACAACGAATCATGTATGAACCCCGTAGCGCCGACAGCGGCGGCATTAGGCCGTAGCGACAGACGTCCGGATTAACATTTAATTATGTATATACTTATCTATAAATTATACCCTAATATACATAGAAGTAATGAAATACGAATGAAACTAATATCTTTTGTAGGTGACTTTTACAACCGCAATGTAGGTTAGAGAGTATTACGGAGTAAATTAAGCGTCTAGATGCGAGAGCCGAGCGCCGAGACCGTGCGGGTAGGGGCGGAGCGCTCGGGCGCACGCGTCGTCCGTCTCGGTGAGGAACTTGCCAAAACTTTCCGTCCGAAGCTCCGCAGCGCCGCCGCCTTCGCGTCGTCGTCGCGTCGCCTTCGCGCCGCCATCGCGCCGCCACCGCGACGCATTCGCACCGCTATTGCGTAGTAATCTGTAAAAGTGCCGCCGCCGAACCACATGAGTGGATAAACGGTGTTTATCTACTCATGTGGCTGTATAACAACCCGCCGTAGCAGCTACGCGCGTCGACTGTTACTGCTACGACATCGCCTGAACCGCGTAGCAGTGCCCTTACTTTGGCCGCTCTGCTTGGGGACGTTTCGACATAAAAATCGTAATTAATATATTATAAAGAGAAAAACTGATAAGGCATTACTGTTTATATTGTGATTCTATGTATTTATTTCTTATTGTATTTATTTCTTATTTAACCGATATGATTTATAATTTGAATTAATTATCAGTTTTCATCTCTATATATTTTTCATCGTGTTGTAAATTCATTCAATTTCAATAGATTTTAGATTTCCTAAATGTTTCGGTTACATTTTGTAAAAAGCTTTACTTATGACCATCACGTAGTCTTCTGCGTGATGGCCATAAGTCACATCTTTGTGAAGGTGTACCTTCAAGCTTCGAAATATCCCCAAGTTCATGACAGTGCCTTAACGGCGAGGATTCAATAGTAGTCCGGGCCCGTCCCGCGCAACGTGTTAAAAATGTTAAATTTATAAGAAAATTTCTTCCACCCAGCCGCCCTTACAAACAATCTAGGAAAGTCAATACACGCGACAGTAGAACATTACAAATCGCTATGTGTAACAAAACCATTGCCAATACCTAAGGAGAAAGTCACGAACGAATGCATAATAAATGGCACGACATTACAAAAAATCGTTACAACCTTGGCCTTGTCAAGGATCCGACAAAAGCATACGATAATGCAAGTGAGTTTTGCTATTTTTGATCTTATGAAAATTACACATTTTTAACAAATTTAATATACTGTCGACACAATTGAAAATAAAGTAATATTGGTAGAGTGCGGTGTACTTTCACCTGGGACTATTTCTTTCTAGGACTATTCAAACTGAAAAAAATAAATTAAAATGTGAGTAAAGAAAATAAGAGAAAAGAGGCAGCATCTCTTCAAAATTCTCAAATTGGTTTACTTTACAGATCAGTGACATATCAAAAATTAAGTTTTGGTAAAGACATCTACAATAGAGCATTTAGTTCTTACGTCTAACTAAATAATATCTTCTGCATATCTTGCAGTAAGTTTACGTAACTATTTGTCAATTCGTGACTTTCTTTCGTATCAACGAAAAAGGTTCTTTATTTTACTACAGTCCCTTATTATTACCTTATGATGAAAACCAATCCTATACGAACAACAAAGACAATGCGATATATCTACACAACACGTGATTGATTTTGCTGTAACGTAGGCCACAAATACGCACAACCAACGAATGCCTCATTGTCGCATCGCTAGCATTGTTGCGTCTCTAATATAGCAACAGTTTATAATAGTACATAATATAATATATATAGGAAAAGGGCGGCGTTTGGGACGGGTTGAACTGCGTGAATCAATTAATAAGCCTTTAGTTTGTGCGAGTGTTTAGAGACAAGTCAAATAACTGGCAATAATATAAATTAATGTAAGATAGTGTTAGTTCTAGGTTTAGTCAGACGAGCACGAGGTGTTCTGTAAGAAATGGGTATTCAAAAAGCAATAATGAAGTAGATATTCAAGTCGCGCATTGCTGTCATGAAGACGCTGCAGACTTTTTCCTACCTTATCCTTAGTGTTCCCTAGTTCCAGTAGTTCTCAGGTTCCCTTCTTCCTCCTTCTTGGAACACAATTCCCAATTCCCCACAGCACTCTGACAACTCTGATTTAGCTATAGATAGAGATAGATGGAATTAGTTTCCTTGATCGTCACTGCGTCAACTTCGATAATTCCACAGTCAATTTATTAAGGAATTTAATTTCAATTTGGTCAATTAAAAAAAATCCCTTTTATATATTATAATTAAATTAACGATTATTTTAACAACCTATAATTTTGATTTCGGAATTGGTATTAGTAATAGTTTTTGTAGTTAATTGAAATGCAATAATTATTGTCAATTTAAAGCGATAGCAATACGTAGTTGATGATGAAATGGAGATGTTTCTCATTCCTAGTTATTATATTCCTCGAATGTCAAGTGATCCGACTTTAGTAGACGTAGTGCCACATAAATTTAACATAGTCTTAAACAAGCTAACATAATATTCACAGTTAAACAATGTACATTAACCAGACAATGGTTGCGCGTAATAAGCAATATTAAAAAGTAAAGTAAATGATAAGCAATAATTAAGGGTGAAAGTAGATTATGTTTTTTATTATAATACATATTTTGGTAGTTATAGAGGTTTTGGTGCTTGTGAGTACTATATTTAAAATCTTGTGAAGTGAATCTAACATCGAATAATGTTTAAACCATTAAAATTGTGATAATTATTTTTCAAAATTATGTAAATATCTGTTAAATGTAACTGGAGATGTTACAATATCTTTCAATTACGTATAAATTAATCTTTCACGTGTCTATTAGATTTAATGAAGACACTATTGTGTAGAAATTAGTTTATCTATATATTTACTGCAAAGTGAATTCCCGGCGAGTCAATTCCTTGCCGCCCAAATTAACTAGCTGTCACATTATTTAAATTTTCCGTAGAAAACGCAAAAAAAATTGCTTTTAAAATGATCTGAGACAAAATATAATATTCAAATATTTATACTAACGTTATGATAATTGTAGGTATTATACAGTACGAAATTAAGTAACGATTAGTATTTAAAAAAACCAACTTATATACAAAAAACATATACCTACATTTAAATGTAAATATTTTCCCGTGTACCAAGTTCCCTTCTTTACAATTTTTATAGACTTAGTGATATATAACTAACATTATCTTAATGTAAAAATCACTATAATCTAGATATTACTCTATATAAAATTATACTTATTCTACTTTCATACAACCATACATTTAAAGCCGGATAAAAGATATAATTTTACAGATTTAATAATGCGGTTTTGCGAATTGGAACAGAGTTGAGCATACTCTACTGGAACCATTTGCGGTGACAGTTGGAAGCGAGTATTTACCCGAAAATGGAGTTCATTTGTGCCCACACTTCCGTTTATACTGTCCAAATTGAATGCAATTTATTAAGTACATGAAGTTATATGTACAAAATAATAACACCTTATTACGAAAAAATAAATTAAAACAAATATATAATAACCACACCACGTGTCAACATACATATATGATAACCTGGTTTAACAATAAAAAAAAATCAATAAAAACCAATCCATAATACAATCCGTATTCAAACTGTGCAAACTACAAGTATATTTAATTCACAAGCGGTCGTTTATTAACAAAAAAAAACTGTTCTTAATAAAACAGTTATAAAAAATTATCGAAAATAATATTATAAAAAATAATAAATTGTCCAAAATAAGAAGTATATGAAGCAATATTAAATTAATGAAAATTTATAATTAATCAATATTGAGCAATAAATTAATAAGTATTGTTAAGATTGGTAATTATATTACTGTTACTGAGAAGCAATAATTGTCATGGGTAGTTGTCATTGTATAGGGAACAGAGACTGCAATCAAGTGATATATATGTATGTTAATACTATATTACGAGAATACTGAAAATCGTGCGAGCCTTCGTAGCGCTGAATTTATTTAAATCCGTTCACAAAATATCACAAAAACTATATGTTCATATAATTTATTTACGTTAAATTTTTGTTATATATTAAGCTTGTTATAATTATAAAATTAATTGATATTTTAATTATTTATGAAAACAATTTAAAATATTGCAGGCCATTTTATAATATGATTAAAAAAAAACTTTAATATTTTCTAATTAAAAAGAGCTTAGTCGTTTTGGACAAAAGATTACCGTGTATCTATTTCTTCCTTTCTATTAACTTTGTTTCTAATCTGAAGTCTTCTGAAACGCACCTTTGCTTTTAATGTCTGTCTTTAGGCTTATCATGGGTACAGAATAGACGGCCTCGATGCGTCCACAAAACGTAGCAAATATCGTACTTATAACTAAATTTATTATTATACATGAAAATACATTGAATGTGTTAAAACTATCTATACATTAATACTTGTATAAACACAATATTGTATTATTATAATTTATAGTACAGCTTATTGAATATTTAAATAATTTAGATATTCAACTTAACGAATAAATTTTGTGATACGAAATTAAAAGCAATAAATGAAATAAGCAATACAATCGAAAATGAATAACAACGAAAAAAAATTTTGGATATTAATTCGACGTTAATTTAGGTGATAACTTTTATTGATGATGTTTAACTAAATATAAGCAATTTTAAATAGTTATATTATTCGGTGATGAAGGCGAAGCTACTATTTCGGTATATAATCAGGAAATAAAAGAAAAACCCCCCCTTCCCTTACTTAATAAAATTCGATTCTAATTAAATTCTATGTAAATAGCATGTATCAAATAATTCATTTAACTTAACAAACAAGACCAAATAAATCATTGAAATAGTTAATCAAGTAATCATTGTGTAT